AGGCTTCCAGTCTGAGGGAAGAAAAGGCGGCTCAGCAGGGTGAACTCTAAATCCCTGGCCTCCTAGCCCTGTGGGGGGCAGGAGCTGGGGAACCTGCCTTGGGTGGGGCTGGGTCCCCCTCCTCACACTACCCAGTCCTTGTTCTTTGTTAGGGTTCCCTCAAAGTGGAGAGGTTGCATTGTGCACTCTGCCTGGGAGCTGTGAGGTTGTGCTGTTTGTGCAGTCACTGTTGGGTTTTTCTCAAGAGGGACAGGGAAAACGGACACCCTCACTGTTCGGAAACAATTGGGCCTAGAGAGTCAAGGACTGAGTAGTAGGTTGGAAGACAGCAAAGCCCAGTGGTCCCGTGCCACATCCCCTCCCCTCCCTGCCCCTCAGCATCCCAGGTAGGAATTTCTACAGCACTTGTGCAAGACTGTAAAAAAAGAGCAGGCTCAGTGCTGGGACCTATGTTTTCAGGTCTCCAGGCTGGCCTATGTCAACTTGTTCTAAGGTGGCAGGTAGTGCAGTGTGCCAAGTTTTATTGGGCAAGGCTCACGGCATTGCTCCCCCTGGGGCTGAGGCCAAGGGGATGCACAGTAGGGGTGCTGAGCTGGAAAACACTCATACTCCAGAGATCATCCTCCCTGCTGCCAGCCTAGAGTGTTGGCCCAGCCTAGAAAAAAGCACTGGGTTCAGTCTGGTTTGGAGGAGTAGGGGTCAGCATTCCCTGTCTCTGACCTGGCCTGACATGGGGCCAGAGAAGTTGATCTGGGGTGATTCCATACCTTTCTTCAGCTGCTTCTTGAAGCTAGACTGCCCCCTTCCAGGTTTCTCTCTGGGGAGGACAGTGAATGGCAGTGAAGGGTAGAGGAACGTATTTGGAGCTTCCAAAGGAACCCAGCCTGTGAGAAAGCAGCCAGTCTTTGTAAGTGTGTGTGAAGGGAGGACATCGGGTTGCTGGGCCTGTGGGGTCAGGGTGGGGGATGAGGCCGTTTGATGTGCCTTGGGCAGGGTGTGGGGACTCTGGCATGCATAAAGAGGCCATAGAATTGCTGTCTAACAGTGGCTGGGCGGGGCCTAGCCTCAGCCTCTGCTAGCTGTGGCCTCTGTCAGCAAAGGGTATACCCCCTCCCCAGCCTCAGCCATTTGAGGTAGCAGGAGCCCCTTTGAAAGCCCTCAAAGGCCTCTTTATGTGGCCTCTGACCCTCCCTTCCCTTGGGGAGCTATGAAGGAGTGGGCTCACTTGGGTTACTTTCCTTTGCTGCCTCTACAGTGTCTTGAGTTTTAGACAAAGTTCAGGCCAAGTTTGTTCCAGTGACTCAGTTTCATTTCCCCAGGCTGCCTGTTGGGGTCCAGTGTAAAGTGGAGGCATTCAGGGCCAGTAGGATCTATCTGAGCCACTCAGTACCTTTAAGCCTGAGTTGTCCCCCCTGGGATTCTAGCTAGGCATGTTTTAGGTGGGATTGGGAGGAGGACCTAATTGATTTTTTTCCATCCTTTATACATCTACCTCTGCCCCCATCCTTTTTTTTTTTTTTTTTTTTTTTTTTAAATACACATTTCCCAGGTCCCAAGTCTTGCTGGGGCACATGTCAAAGAGTTGCCTGCCCTGGGGCCTAGGGGATATACCTTAGAAAGTTCATGAATAGAGGCCAGATTCACTGACTCCCTCACTCCCCCAGTCTCTGCCTTTCTTTTCTAGGCTTCAGCTCCATTCCACACAGGAGTGAGGAAGGATGGTTGAGGGTAGAGCTCTGTGAAGGATTCCAGAGGTTTCTGGTTTCCTCTGGTTTTCTAGCTGTCTGCCATCAGGGCCCAGAGAGAAGGGGAGATGTTTGGGGCCTGAGAAAAACTCTGCTGCAAGGCTGCTCCTACCTCTCCTCCCACAACCAAGTCAGCCCTCCTTTGCCTTCCTCTGCGTGCCCCTCCTCTCCAGGTGAGCAGTCTGAGGCTGGGTCTTTAGGTTGATCTTCTGTTTGCCAGACAGACCAAGTGCACCAGGAGTAACAGGGAAAGAGGATTTGAATGCAGAAGTCTCTTGAGACTGGGGAGAGTTAGACCTTGTGCCATGACTGCATTCCGATTCCAGAACAGGGGAGCTCGCAGACTGGAAGGGGCAGCAATGATCTGTCCCTTTTCCAGATTAGAGCATGCCCTGGAGCTGCTGTAGGGAGTGGAGGAAATAGTATTGGGTCTTGGTACCCAGAACAAAAGGCTCTGTGGGAGATTCTGTCAGCTGGAATCAGTGCATTGGAGTCTGCTGTATCCTTGGCCCTCCTGAAGACCTAGAGGAGACTCAGCAGGAAGGAAGTTAGTGGGGGTGGAGCTCTGGGAATAAGAAAGTTGTACTTTGTGGGGAGTGTTCTTTTTGGCTTGGAGTTCTTTGGGTGATTCTGGGCTCAGAAAAGTTGGGTTATCAAGAGTGTCTGGACACCCAACACAGAGTAACTATGACAAGAGGGAGGACAGGCTCTGCAACCTAAATACAGAGGGACTAGGAGCCTGCCTACTTCCTACTCAACTCTGTTCACTGAATTATTCCTCTGGTTCAGACCCTAGTTACCAGGTAGAGAATTTCTAGGGGACAGAGAGAGGCACCCCAGCTCAGAAACCACTGGGGCTGTAGGAAGACGAGGGATATGCTCTTCTCTGTCCTGTGGACTAAGGAGAGGTCCCACAGTGCCTAGGGGACTGAAGGAGGTACTGCCTTCAGGGAGGAAAGACAGGTGGAGTGACTAATTGGGGAAAGCAGGACTTGGAGAATGAAGGCAGGCTATAGGGTGAGGTTGAATCTGACAAAGTCTCTGTTTGTTCAGGGAGGACCTGGTCCCTTAAACCCAGTGCAGGTGAATGCCCAAGTTCCTCCCAGATGGAGGGTGGGGAGTGAAATGGTTAGAAGTCTTTTGCCCCAGAACCCAACCTTCCAAGCTGGGGAGCTTTCCATCTAGGTCATTGAGAAAGGGGAAGTTGTTAAACTGAACCCACAGTAGCCCTGCTAAAACTGATGCCTGGTCCAGTTACCTCTGTTTTGAAACTGTGAGGGTCAGTATATTATCTTCCTTCTCATGCCAGCCTTGTAGTAGTCCTGTCCCTTCCCAAGTGTGAGGACTTAAGGGAGGGGGCTGCCAGTTGCCCAGCTTTACCTCAAGCCCCTTACTTCCTGATCTTCTAGGAGGCCATTATGGAATGGACAGACTATACTCAGGAGAGATGGTATTGATCTCTCTGAAGCACAACTTAGCACCTACTATATACTTTGTGACACACAGGACTTCATGGGGCCTAGTGTTAGTAGAGAAGAAAAAGAAGTTCAAGTGCCTTTTACCATGAGATGGCGAAATGAACCAAGGGGATGTCTGGAGCCAGCCCTCAGTGACCATGCTCCCCACCTCCTAGTAGCCGCTCTGCAGCAACATTTATGGGGTTGAATTGAGGAGGGAAAGGGAAGGAACTGCAGTTAGGAGTGGTGGCAAGCTCTGTCTCCTGCTTCTGTTTCGGGATAAATAGCAGGTCAGCAGCCTCTTGCCTTTTCTTACCAAGTCCTACCCTCAGTCCCTCAGTCTTTCACCACTCCTTGACTTGAAATTTTCCCACTTTCAGTGTTTTAAAAATATTTTATTAAGCTGGGCATGGAGGTACACGTCTTTAATCTCAGTGCTTGGGAGGCAGAGGCAGGCACATCTCTGTGAGATTGAGGCCAGTCTGGTCTCCATAGGGAGTCTAGGCTTCCTGGGGCTACAACGAGATTCTGTCTCAAAAAGATCAAAAAAAGTTTTATTTAATTAATTAATTTTGTTTGGAAGTATATGTACATGTTCATGTATGTGTGTGAGTACAAAGGCTAGACGTCAACATCAGGTGTCTTTATCAGTCTTCACCTTTTTTTTTTTTTGTCTTTTTGAGACAGGGTCTCCCTGTAGTCCCAGCTGACCTGAACTCACTATGTAGACCAGGCTGGCCTTGAACTCACAAGATCTGCCTGCCTCTGCCTCCCGAGTGCTGGGATTAAAGGCACCACCACTCCCAGCCCACCATACTTTTTTTTATTACTATTTTTATTTTATGTGTCTGAGTCTGAGTGTATTGCCTCCATATGTGTAAGTGTACCTGTGTCATGCAGTGCCCTCAGAGGTCAGAAGAGGGCGTTGAATCTCCTGGAACTGGAGTTACAGACAGTTGTTAGCTGTCATGTGGGTCCTCTGCCAGAGCAGTCAGTGTTCTTAATCACTGAGCCATCTCTCCAACCCCTCCACCTTCTTTTGTGAGAATGAGTCTTCTGAAGCTAGAGCTCCCTGATTAAACTAGATACCCCCTGGAATTCTGTTTCTACTTCCTAGCTCTGGGATTACAGTCATGCATTGCCACACTCAGTTTTTACATGGGGGCTAGGGATCCAGACTCAGGTACTTGTGTTTTCACAGCCAGCTCTGAGCCATCTCCCCAACCCTGAACTGTCACTTTTAACAAGGAGAATTGAGCAGCCCAGCTTGGGGAGTTGGAGAGAAGAGCAAACAGATTAGGCTTGGTAAATGGTATTCAGGGCCACCTTGGTAGCCAGGCTTGGATTTGCCCACAAGGGCAATTGCAGAGATGCTTCTAAACAGAGAGTAAATGACATCTGTTTCTCTTTGGGGTCTGCTGAAGTTTAAGCATCATATCTCCCTCATGTCAATGCTGGGCTAATTTTTTTGTGTGTATGTGTTTTGCCTGCATGTATGTAAATGCACCACAAGTATGCAATGCCTGCGGAGGCCAGAAGAGGGCATCAGTTATGGACAGTTGTTAGCTACCATGTGGGTGCTGGGAACTGAACCTGGGCCCTCTATAAGAGCAGCCAGTGCTCTTAACTGCTGAGACATCTCTCCAGCCCCCTACGTTAATGTTAACATGTGGTTCCCAATTGGGTAACTGGGTGGGTCATGCCTGAAAATGAACAGATTTCAGAGAATTCAAAGCAAATCCTAGAAACCTGGTACCCAGGACTCAACACTCCCTGCAACTGTGATTGTCTTGCCCTTCTAGGATCTGACTGATGAGATGTGTCCCTATGAAGGCATTCCACGGTGACATTTTTAGCATGGGCTGAGATGCTGAACTTCCACTAGAGGGCTGGTGAAAATGGGAGCCTGGATGAATCTTAGGGAGCTGGTGGCAGCCAGGAGGAGAGGACTTGGCAGGTCTGAGCCAATGCAGCTGTGGAGTGTGTAAATGGCCCCTGGAGTCCTACCTGCCCTGTCCGTCATGATCCAGAGGCTGTGGGCCAGCCGTCTGTTGCGGCATTGGACAGCCCAACTCCTGCTGGTCAACCTGCTGACCTTTGGCCTGGAGGTGTGCCTGGCTGCTGGCATTACCTACGTGCCACCCCTTCTACTGGAAGTGGGGGTAGAGGAGAAGTTCATGACCATGGTGTTGGGTGAGTCACTCCACTTTCCTTTCCTCCTACTCTGTGTACCTGGGTTGTACAGGCAACAGTTCTGCCTGGGGAGCTGCTCAGAGGGATGGTGGTGCCAGCTGTTCATGTGCCTGGTGGGGAGGCATTTCCTGACAACTCTTCACAACCCTTGGGAGCAATCTACTTTCCAGACAAGGAGAGAGACGCTTAGAAGATGCAAGCTTGTCTCAGCCCGAATTGTATGTCTGCTGGTCAGAACTGGACTTTCCCAGGGTCTCCCAGCCAGGGCTTTTTTTTATTCTTGCTATAGCACAGGTGGTGTGGGCCTCTGATGCTGCAGATGAACTCATCAAAAGCCACAGAAGGGAAGAGGTTACCCTTGTGACTCTCCTCCCCTAGGAGGAGGACTTCTTGTGAGGATGCAGGCTCTGGAGTCTGGCTGCCTATTGAAACTCTGCTCTGACCTGTGTCTTTGCATAAGCATCACTTCTTAGTTGCTGTGCACCACTGTTTCCTTGTCTAAAAACAAGGTGTTTGTATTCTGAGAGGAACAGAGTCCCATAAAGACTGAGTACAGGATCTAGCCTCAGTGACTTATTTCATCCTCAAGGAGCTAGCTCTTTTCCCCTTGCCCCTTTGTTCTAGCTACTGACTTGTGCTCTTTGTCCTTACAGGCATTGGCCCAGTGCTAGGCCTGGTCTCTGTCCCACTCCTAGGCTCAGCCAGTGACCAGTGGCGTGGGCGCTATGGCCGCCGGAGGCCCTTCATCTGGGCCTTGTCCCTGGGCGTCCTCCTGAGCCTCTTTCTCATTCCAAGGGCTGGCTGGCTGGCAGGGCTGCTGTGCCCTGACACCAGGCCCCTGGAGTTGGCCCTGCTGATTCTGGGAGTGGGGCTGCTCGACTTCTGTGGCCAAGTGTGCTTCACTCCACTGGAGGCCTTACTCTCTGACCTTTTCCGGGAGCCAGACCACTGCCGCCAAGCCTTCTCCGTCTATGCCTTTATGATTAGCCTCGGGGGCTGCTTAGGCTACCTCTTACCTGCCATTGACTGGGATGCCAGTGCCCTGGCCCCTTACCTAGGCACCCAGGAGGAGTGCCTCTTTGGCCTCCTCACCCTCATCTTTCTTACTTGCATGGCAGCCACTCTGTTCGTGGCTGAGGAGGCAGTGCTGGGCCCACCAGAGCCAGGAGAAGGACTGTCAGTCCCCTCTGTGTCACTCCGCTGCTGTCCATGCCATGTCCGCCTGGCTTTCCGGAACCTGGGTTCCCTATTCCCTCGGCTGCACCAGTTGTGCTGCCGCATGCCTCGCACCTTGCGCCGGCTCTTTGTTGCTGAGCTGTGCAGCTGGATGGCACTCATGACTTTCACACTGTTTTACACGGACTTCGTGGGAGAGGGCCTGTACCAGGGTGTTCCCAGAGCTGAGCCAGGCACTGAGGCCCGGAGACACTATGATGAAGGTAAGGCCTCAGCACCAGTGGGCACTGTCCTGCCGAGGACATGCCAGGATTGAGAGGCTGACTGTATGCCCTGGGCCCTAGTGCCACCCCCCAAAGGAATAAGGCTCCATCAGTGGTCCCCCCAACCCCCATTTCAGAAGGGTCTCAGGCAGTTTGAGGTCAGTCAGGATGAAAGGTGGAGCTTAGAGCCAAAGGGAGTGGAGTCTCTAGGCTGGGGTCAGGTGTGTGTGTAGTATCAGCTCCCTGTGACTTTCCCTGTAACTCACTAAGCCTTCTGGTTCAGGCGTTCCCTAAAGCCATCTTAGAGCCTAAATGGAGCTATCTTGTGCTCCATCTTACCCCCTCCAAGCTCTGCAAGTGCCCCCCCCAGGTCCCAAAGCCAAGACTCCTTGCCCCTCTTCCTTAGAACACCTTCATCTGCCCTTAGCCAATGGCTTTGGTCATACTCACTGAGGGGTAGTGGGAGAATCTAGATCCTGTTGTTGGGGGTGTGGTGGGGAGGGCCCTGGGGAGCAGGTACCCATGACCCCTAGTCTCTGGCTCCCCTAGATTATCCCCTAGTCCTTACCCTGCTTCTTCCCCCAGGCATTCGAATGGGCAGCCTGGGGCTCTTCCTGCAGTGCGCCATCTCCCTGTTCTTCTCTCTGGTCATGGACCGGCTGGTGCAGCGATTTGGCACACGGGCAGTCTATTTGGCCAGTGTGGCGTCCTTTCCTGTGGCTGCTGGTGCCACGTGCCTATCCCACAGCGTGGCCGTAGTGACAGCCTCAGCTGCCCTCACCGGGTTCACCTTCTCCGCCCTGCAGATCCTGCCTTACACGCTGGCCTCCCTCTACCACCGTGAGAAGCAGGTACTCCCATTGGCCAGGTTAGGGTGGGGTTGAGTCTGAGCTGCTCAGAACCTGGTGTCTGACAAGAGATATTGGAGGAGGCTTGACTTTCTCTGGCAACAGAGGATTTTAGCTGGGGCCAGAGGCTGCCGGGGTAGAAGTGTAGATTAGATTCTGGGAATGACTTTCTGGCTTTTGGACTAGAAAGCACTTGAGTACATGATTTCAGGAAATGCAGAGTCCTTCAATAAGAATCCTGGAAGCCCTTCTTTCTATATTATTGTACCCAGAGGCAGGGTATGGGTTGGGTGGCCTCCCCAGCACCTGGCCATAGCAGATGGCAGTAGAAATAGCCTGACCTTAGCAACCCTTTCAGGGGGAGCCAATATGACCACCCATCTGTGTCCTGCTTGCTTCAAGATGAGCAAGGCTTCCAGACCCTTCTCTTTCTAGTTACCCCCCCCTCTTTCCTCCTCCTCTGCCTCTGTCTCCTTCCTCTACCTTCTCAGTGGATTCTGAACCTGACCTACTGACTTTTGTTTGCCTGGACACTAAGATGGGGACCCCCTCCTTGTTCATCCCACACTAACCAGCCCCTGCAGAAAGCCCTCTTTCTTAGGAAGCCTCTTGATCTAGACAGCATGGTCCTTGTTCTCTGCACTCTCTTCCCTGAGCCTGTGGACCTGGATGTAGAACTCTGCCCTAAGGGGCACAAGTTGTGTAGCCTAATGGGGGGAATACAGGCCCATCCTTCTAGAGCTCTGAGTTAGGAAGGACCTGGCCTGGCCTACAAGACAGGAGTAGGACAGCAGAGAAATTCACAGCTAGGAGGCTGGTTTGCTCAGCAGTAAGTGCAGGGGTGGGAGGTATGGAGGGCTGGGCTGAGGTTTGAAGAGTGGGAGCCTGGTCCCTGAGGCCTCTATTGGCTTTCAGAAAGCTCTGGGCCAGGGGCTGAGATCTGGTATCCAAAGACCAGGCATAAGCTTGCTGGTCTTTCCCTAGTGGCAAGCAGGAAAAAAGGGTCTCTGGAGGGCCATCACCAACAGTAGCTGAGGACAGGCCTGGCCCTGCATACTGTCTCCATACCCCTTGCCACCTATTGAGCTGTGCGATATGAGTCATAGACTTTACTTTGGAGCTCTGCAGACATTCTCAACTCTATCAAGCAGTATTCTGTGCTAGACACTGCCTGGCACAGACTTTGTGGGATGAGGAGACCCAGGCCATTGAGGCTGGGGTGAGGGGGTCAGGCAGACATGCTGTCTCTGATCTCAGGCAGCCTGCAGGAAGGAACTGAAAAGCTTCAGGGTCTGGCGGCTAGGCTGTGGTGTCACTGAGGAGGTCTTCCTGATGCTCCTTCCTTCTGCAGCCTCAATCCCTGGGTCCTGCCTGGTCTAGGACCAGGACAGAGACCTCACCTTGAGCAGCATCTCCAACCCGGGCCTGGACCCCAAAGAGGCAGGACAATGAAGAGCTCTCTATGGAGGGAAGGACAGATAGGCATGCAGGGGTTGGGACAGAATGTGTGGGATTTGAGTCCTCAGAAGTGCTTCTGAGTTTTGTTCTCTTTCTGTATCTTGCTTCTGTCCTGTGTCATTCTTCTATCTTTTCCCTTTTCGGGGGCGGGGGGTTCTGCCCTCTTAACATGCAGAACTGAGTTTGTCAACTTCTCATTATTCTTAGAACAGTTAGGAGGCTTAGACTTCAGATTTCCAATTTTTACCCTCTTGGCCCCACCTTTCTCCCACTGCTGGCATGGGGTTCCTGCTTAGAGCTACACCAAGAAGGATCATCTCAATTTTCTGATTTTTTTTTTTTTTTTTTTTTTTAACCTGGAAGCCAATTGCCTGGTTTCTTACAGCTCCTGGGACAGAAGCATTGAAGACCTATTCTCATATCTAGGGATTCCCCGTGTCTGGATACATACCTGTGTGTGTTCTCTTTTTGCCCCCCACCCTCAGGTGTTCCTGCCCAAATACCGAGGGGATGCTGGAGGTGGTGGCAGTGAGGACAGCCAGACGACCAGCTTCCTACCAAGCCCCAAGTCAGGAACTCCCTTCCCAAATGGACATGTGGGCCCTGGCAGCAGCAGCCTGCTGGCACCTCCACCTACGCTCTGTGGGGCCTCTGCCTGTGATGTCTCCTTGCGAGTGGTGGTGGGCGAGCCACCTGAGGCCAGGGTTGTTGCTGGCCGGGGCATCTGCCTGGACCTCGCCATCCTGGACAGTGCCTTTCTGCTGTCCCAGGTGGCTCCATCCTTGTTCATGGGTTCCATTGTCCAGCTGAGCCAATCTGTCACCGCCTATATGATATCAGCCGCAGGCTTGGGACTGATTGCCATTTACTTTGCTACACAGGTAGTATTTGACAAAAACGACTTGGCCAGATACTCAATGTAGAATGCTTGTAACTCGAAGAGAGGGTCTGCCTCACAGGGCTCAGCCCCCATAGGGCTGCTGCAGTGGCCTTTCCAGTTCTGTTGCTGCCAAAGTGGTGTAGGTCTCTGCTGCCACCCTGAGGCAGTGAGATGCATAGCTGCACAGATAGGAACTGGGGCTTTCCTCTCTGCTTCAGAGTCTGGCGGGCCCACTGGCAGCTTCCCACATAGATGTCAGTCTGGAGTTCTGCAGTGAGATGAATGCAGGACTGTACAGGTGCGTTACCAAGGCTCAGGGTTAACAGCTAACCTCCTGGTTGAGATATCCAGAGAAGGGATTTGGGGACATAAATAAACTCCTCCCAAGCCTTTCTATCCTGTAGATCTCCCCATTGTTGCTCTTGGATGGAAAGAGCAAATCTTCCTCCATAGGATTTGACAGGATGCAAGTTGAGAGGAAGAACCCTAGCGGGCAAAGTGAGACCCCCTTCACACCCCCCATGATCCACAGCACTGCCTTTCTACAAGTCCCATCCCCCACCCTTTTCGGGACATGGCTTGTTGATCCTTGTGTTGCCATCATGGGGACACAGACCTTTAATATTTAACTTATTTATTTGACAAACTAGAAGAAAAGTCCTATCCTTTTTATGTTGTGCCTAGAAATTGAGTAGGGTGAGATCCCCAATAACTGGATCCCCCTGAAATAGCTGGTCATTGCCAGAATCTTCTGGGGTGGTGGTTATGGCCCCCCCAAACTGCCTAACCCAATACCTTAAACAGTCTACTCACCCCAATCGAGAGCCCTGATAACCTCACCCAAAGCTGGGGCATTGAGGGAAAGCGGAGGAGGGTACCAGGTCCCCACAGCCTACCAAATCCTGCTTTTCTCTTGACCCAGCTTTCTCCTGACTCCCCCTTTGCTGCTTGTTGGCCTGGGCCCATGGAGACATTCCCTTTCTTTCCCCCTCCACCCCAACTCTCTCCACTAGCTCCATGACCTCTCTTTGGGGCCTCATAGGACCAGAAGCACAACACAAGTGTGGTTCCTCAGGCCGTGGGGCATATCTGTCACAGTTGGGGACTCTCATACACACTCAGGAGCACTCCCCGCCAGAGCCAAGAAGCTCTTGTCTCTTGGGCGGTTTCAGTGCTGATTGCAATAATGTTATGTCTTATTTATTTAGCAGAGTAAATATTTTATACTGTATGTGATAAATCAGAGTATATGTTTATGGTGATAAAATTAAAAGCTTATGTGTTTAAGTGGTGTGTGTTTCTTTTATAAGAGGGAAGGAGTAGATCTTTGAAATCATCAGCCTCAGTCTGTTCTTGGGGACTCAGCTTTGGCTGCTTCAGTTCCCCCTGATTGCCAGCAGATGGAGTCATGGACCATCACTTGCTCCAATGCAGGCATTTGGGACTGGAGGACAGGGACAGGAAGAAAGGCAGCAAAGTGCAGTTTCTTTCCTAAAGGGCTCACAGAAGACAGATTGACAGCCAGAACATGGGGAGCACAGCTTGTACGTGGAGCAGGATTTCACAGTACTGTGTCTTGGCCATGTCACTCCAGCCTCCTCATCTCCCCGACCTCTCCAAGCCTGACTGGCCTTCTTGCCCCTTGCATTCCATAGTGGCCAGTGCAGTCAATGCCTGTGCCAGGCCTCACTTTCTTTTGAAGATCTATATATTTATTGTGAAAACTGTCAAACAGCCCCAAGTAGTGTGTCAGGTATAGTGAAACCCACAATCGCACTTTGCAAGTTTCTGCTCCCCTCTGGAGAGTATTTTTAATTTTTATTTGATTTTATATGTATGTTTTGCCTGTGAGTGCTCTACCACTGAGCTACATGCCCAACCTGAAGCATCTCCTTGTCCCCCCTTTTCCCTGGTAAGCTGCTAATAAGATAGAGATACTTGATTAGATTCAGGACTGATTTATTTTGGCAAGACAGCATCACGGGTAGAACTGTGTTCTCGTGGCATTGTCCATGAAGCATGGAATGTCTTGCCACTCCAGTTTTTTGGTGTTAATGTTGATTAGTGGGTTTCGGTGGTGTCAGCCGATGGCATCTGTTGGCAGTTTCCTGTCAGCCTTCTAAGCCACTCCTGATCATGCTTAGATCGCTTTTCACTAGATGTGAAATTACAATTTTAACCATTCTTTTTCCCTCCCCCATCCTGTGCTATGAGTAGTTTTTTTAAAAATTATTTTGATTTTTTATGTGTATGAGTGTTTTGCCTGCATGCGTGTAAGTGCACCCTGTGCATGCAGTGCCTAAAGAGACCAGGAAAGGGCATCGAATCTGCTGGAACTGGAGATAGGGACAGTCTGAGTGTAGGGCTCTTTAAGTTCTTTTCAGTGGATCAGAGGTAGAAAATGTCTTTTTCAGAAACAAATATTACAGTCATAATAGTAATATTACTGCTAACTACTGAATTTCATTTTTTTTTTATTTTATTTTTTGTGTGTGTGGGGGTACTTTCAAGTCACAGTATATAAGTGAAAGCAAGAGGACAACTTACAGGAGTCCATTCTCTTCTACCGTGTGGGTCTCAGGGATCCAACTTAGGTCATCAGGCCTAGTAGCAGGCATCTTTACTCACCAAACCATCTTACTGATCCCAATTAAGATTGCTTGCTTGCTTGCATTTTTGTTTGTTTTTTTTTTTAATGTGTGTATGTGTATTCCCTGCATGAAGGTAAGTGCACCCGTGTCGAGTAAAGCCCACGGAGGACAGAAGAGACTGTTGGATCCCTGTAACTGTAGTTATAGACCGTTGTTAGCTGCCATGTGGGTACTGGGATTCGAACCTAGGTCTTCTGTAAGAACACTCAGTGTTCTTAACCTGAGAGCCCTCTCTCCAGCCTGAGTTTTGTTTTTTGAGACAGAGTCTCACTCTGTAGCCCTGGCTGGCCTGGAACTTACTATGCAGACCAGGCTGGCCTCCAGCTCACAGAGATCTACCTCCCAAATGCTGGGATTAAAAGCATGGGCCACCACACCTGGCCCAATTTAAGATTTGTGTGTGTGTGTGTGTGTGTGTGTGTGTGTGTAGACTAGGCTGGCCTTGAATTTTCAGAGATCTGCCCTAATGCTGAGAGTAAAGGTGTGTTCCACTATACCCATATATTTTAAAACTTTGTCATGGATAAAGCAGACAGAAAATGGCAGGTTGGATGCTAAGGAATCCATCTGCACTTCAGTTGTAAGTGGCATTTGTTTCACCAACGCCTCCACCCTCGTCTCCATGTAACCTGGAAGCAAATCTCAGACATCCTATTGCATTAGGAAGTATTTCAGCTTGTATCTCTAAAAGGACTTTAAAAAGTCATTCAGCCAGGCATGGTGGCACACGCCTTTGATCCCAGCACTTGGGAGGCAGAGGCAGGCAGATCTCTGTGAGTTTGAGGCCAGCCTGGTCTACATAGTTTCAGGCCAGCTGGGGCTATAAGAGACCCTGTCTCAAAAAGATTAAAAAAAGTGTTTTGTTTTATGGTGAGACCTAAGTAAATTGCATGTTGCAATAGGTTATGTTTTTGTTTTTTTTTTTCTCCCAGTAGCTCTTAAATCTCTTGTAATCCATCAGTACTGCTTCAGGATTTTTTTGTTAAATAAGTTGGGTGGCTTGTGCTAGAGACCATCTGCATTTCCATGGTGATACATGTTTGTTTAAAAAATTTTTTGAGACAGTCTTATGTAGCTCAGGCTGGATTCAGACTTGATTTGTAGGTAAGGATGACCTTGAACTTTATTTTTTACGTTTTATTATTGTGTGTGTGTTTACATGCATACCTGCCATGGCACAAGTATGGAAATCAGAGGACCAGCAGTAGGAGTCAGCTCTCTTCTCCCACCATATGGGCTTCTGGGGATCAAACTCAGGCCATCAGGCTTTGCAGCAGGTGCCTTCACTGACTGAGTTCTCCCACTGGTGTGATCGTGAACTTCTGATCCTCCTTCATCTTATGAGAGCTGGGATTACAGATATGTGTCACCACATCCAATTCATGCAGTGCTGGAGACTGAATCCAGAGCTTTGTACATGGTAGGCAAACATTCTACCAACTGAGCTACATTCCCAGCCCCTATAAGTTTTTATTACCCTTGTATTATCTGCAAACTGGTGTTTAAAGTCAGACACTAGATGAGATTTGGTTTGTTTGTATACAAACACTTAATACATAAACATATAGCTTGAACTACAGTCCCAGCTGTCTTTCTTTTTTGATGTTAGCAATTGATGACATCTTAAGAATTATTACAGTTTGAGTATCCCTTATCCAATAGGCATAGGATCATAAGTGTTTCTAATTTCATCTTTTCTTGAGATTTTAGAATATTTTGTATCCTATTTGCTGTTGCTGTGATAAAACATTGGCCAAAATGTAGCTTGGGGAGGAAAGGTTTTATTTTACCTTACAAGTTACAGTTCATCCTCATGGGAAGTCAGAGCAGGAGCTCAAGCAGGAACCTGGAGGCAGGAACCTAAACAGAGATGATGGAGGAGCACTGCTTACTGGCTTGGTTCCCTGGCTTGCTCAAGCTATATTTCTTATACAGCACAGGTCCATCTGCACAGGGATGGTACTGCCCACAGTGATTACTACATCAATTAGCAATTAAGAAAATGCTCCACAGGGCATGGTGGCATACACCTTTAATTCCAGCACTCAGGAGGCACAGATGGATCTCTGTGAGCTCCAGCCTGGCCTGGTCTACATAGTGAGTTCTAGGTCAGCTGGGGTTACAGGGAGACTCTGTGTCAAAACCAAAACAACCCCCCCAAAGTTTTCTGGAGAGATGGCTCAGCTGTTAAGAGCACTGGCTGCTCTGGCAGAAGATGCGTTTGATTCCCAACACCCACATGGCTTGGTTCCCTGGCTTGCTCAGCTATATTTCTTTTATATATATATACATTTTTTTTCTATCTGTATGAGTGTATTGCCTGCATGTATTGAGTGCACCCATGTTGTGCAGTGCCGAGGAGGTCAGAAGAGGGTGTCGGGTTCCCCTGGAACTGGAGTCAGGAACGATTTGTAGCCACCATGTGGATGTTGGGAATCGAACCTGAGTTCTCTGCAAGAGCAGTTAGTGCTCTTAACTGCTGAGCCATCTCTCCAGCCCTGCTCAGCTACATTTCTTATACAGCACAGGTCCACACTGCCCAACTAACAATTGTCCTTAACTCTAGTACTAGGGGATCCAACACCCTCTTCTGGTCTCTATGGGCGTTGCACTTACATACCTCCAGGCAAAACATCAAGGTGAGGTCACCTTGGAGCTCTGTTCCTGTCTTGTGACCCTGGAACTATATTTTTATCACAGCAATAGAAGCAAACTAGGACACTCCCCAAGCATATATAAGTTCTAAAAACTTCTGAGAGACATTCCCAGACAAGCCAAGCTGCGTAGAAGGCTCTCAGAATAGCTGAGCTGCCTGAAAGGGGCTCAGGCCAGCTAAGCTGCCTGGAAAGGACACTCTCCAACCTGTTGGGCTGCCTGTGCAGTGTGCTCCAGGTTTCCTACTTTCCTGAGCTGTCACCCATGCTGGGGTGGGCTTTGGTGATACAGCTGTCTTTGAGCTATTTCTGCTCCTGTAAGTAATCCCTCACCTATAGTCCTATAAGTAACCCAAATAAAACTCATTGGCTCACCAATTGGACTTTGCTGGTATCTATACTTTGGTCTGTTGTTGGTTCCCTATCTGGGGTGAATACACATTTGTTCATGTCTCCCCAGAAATAGTGTCACACAACATGTGGTTAGGCTCCTGGCTCAGAACCTGGCCCCTGGAAGCTGTTGATTTGTTCACCCTTGGAGTCCTCCCTTTTGGAAACTGTCTCAGGTCTGAGCCTCAACAGAGTCCTCAAAGAACACTGGGAGTCCTTACAAAGCAGGAAGCTTAGGCACAGAGTAGCATTTCTAGTCCAAGTTTTATTTATTTATTTTTTAAATTTTATTTTTATTTTATATGCATGCATGTATTGCCTACACATAGGTAAGTGCAGCCATGTTGTGCAGTGCCAGAGGAAGTCAGAAGAGGCTGTTGGATCCCCTGGGACTGGAGTTATGGACAGTTGTTAGCTGCCATGTGGGTGCTGGGATTTGAACCCAGGTCTTTTGCAAGAACAACCAGTGTTCTTAACCACTGAGCCATCTCTCCAGCCCCTCTAGTCCAAGTTTTAAATGATTGGGGCCTGCTAACCTAGGCTATAGACAACTGAATTCTTGTAGTAGTCCTTCATGAAGGTTTAAAGTACA